AAATTTAAAAAAAGTGAAAATAAATAATGTAAAACTGAAATTAAAACTAAAAAACTGAGGAACAAAGTTTTGCAAACTAGCAAAAGATTCTAGCTACATAAAAAATTCTTAAAATCAACAAGAAAAAGGCTAAATGTCATTGTTATGTGGAGTCAGACCTGACTCATAGCGACCCCTCCTTGGGTTTCTGAGGTGGCATCTCTATGGAAGTAGATTGCCCAACCTTCCTTCTGAGGAGTGGCTAGTGGGTTTGAACCACCAGCCTTCTGGTTAGCAGTCAAGTGTCTTAGGCGCTATGCTACCAGAGCTCCAAAATGTTGTTAGAAAAATGGGTAAAAAAACATTACTAGCCAATTTGCCAAAGATAAAATATAAAAATAAACTTTAGAGAAAAAAATATTTTTCAAAGAGAACTAATTTAAAACATTTATATATATATATTTTAAACATGAAACACCCAGAATTTGAAAAGGTGTGTATTAAAAAGATGCCTTATTCCTCTTTAGGTCAATCTAGCAATACAATGAAAAAAATCCTGAAATTTAAACCCCCTAAGGCCCAACAATGTCAGAAAAGATTTTATAGCAGGAAAGTTCACTGTATTACTATTTAAAATAGCAAGCAACCTAAATGTCTCCAAATAGTACATCTGTTCTAGTGATAAAGCCTTTGAAGGAATACTCAGTGGTCACTAAATACTCAGTGGTCACTAAAATGGGGTTGTCAAAAATATTTTTGGTTGCAGAACTCTTTTATCTCCTAAATGAAATTTTGTTAACTTGGAAGAGAAACAATAATCCAAAGTGCTCTTTCTAAAGTGAGGGTACAGAACTGAGACCTCCCGTTCCTTCTTCCACCTACCCTTGCCTAGAGGCTATTCCTAGTAATTCAATGGCTTCAAGGAACACATTTATATGTGACATAATGAAGAATTATTAGAAAGATATACATCAAAATGTGAAAGTGGTGGGTTTACAGGTAATTTATTTCTTATTGTATCTATGCTTTTCCCCCCAGATATTCTACAAACGAGCATGTATTACTTTCATAAAGAAGAGTAACATTAATTACTTTTTAAATAACATTAAAATAGCATTTTTAAATAACATTAGTTATTTTTAAAGTTAGATTCTTCTTAAAGTAAGTTTTCCATATTCCTTTGTATCAGTTGGCATTTTAAAGTATTAATAATTTTTGGGATACTTGATCACTTGAAGGAGTTCTGGTGGCATAGTGCCTAAGGCATTTGACTGCTAACCAGAAGGCTGGCGGTTCAAACCCACCAGCCCCTCCTCGCAAGGAAGGTTGGACAATCTACTTCCGTAGTGATACTGCCTCGGAAACCCAAGGAGGGGTCTCTATGAGTGGGATCCCACTCAATGGCAGTGCGTTCGCTTTTCGTTTGGTTTGATCAACTGAAATGTCTTTTGTTTGACAGCCAAAGAGATACTGAAATCCAACTAAATGGACTCTTCTTATTGGCAAGTATCTCTGCATGCTGCCTACAGATTTTTCTATTCGAAGTTGTGAGGACCTCACTAAAAAGTACTCTAGGGTCTGGTTTCTGTGTCTTTTCACATGTTACTCAATTTCCCAGGAATACTCATACCCAGATTCTTCACACGGCTGATTCCTCTCAGTCTCCAGATCTCGAGAAAGACACTAAGGTCTTCTCTGACTATACTAAGTATTCTCAGTCATTGCACTGTTTCTTTCCTAGCAATTATAATAAATTTTGTATGTGTTTCCTTATTTCCTGTCTCATCTACAAAACTGAAGTTTTCTGAGACTATGCCTATTATTTGTCGACATACTACACAATGCTGAGCACATTTCATTTGCTGTTTTTGTTAGGTGCTGCTGAGTTGGCCCTTAACTCATGGCTACTCTATGCACCATGGAACTAACTGCTGCCTGATCCTGTGCCACCCCTGTGATTAAGTAAGGACTGGAACACTGTGACCCACAGGATTTTTACCAACTGATTTCCCAAAGTAGACCACTAGGCCTTTCTCCCTCATCCATCTTAGTCTGGAAGCTCTGCTGAATCCTGTTCAGCATCATAGCAACATGCAAGCCTTCACTGACAGATGGGTGCTGACCATACATGAGGTGCAAATGGCAAGGAATTGAATCCAGGTCTTCCTCATGGAAGGCAAGAGTTTTACCAGTGAACATGAATGAATGAATGTTTGCTAAAATTTGAATCTGAAGACTCATGAAGACATTCTGGTTTAAGTGGGCTGGCAAGGACCTTGCTTTCAATATTGTTCAAATTTCTGACAACTTCAATAGTAGCCCAGAGTCACACTGTGCACATTTTGTAAAGGCTGTATCAGCTGATCCACAACTCATTCCAACAGGCACTAGCTCTGCTGACGTGCCTGCTCCAGGGCTACTAATCCTTTACCACATATGTCTTAGAGAATGAAGATTTTATAATACAAGATGAATACCTGCCACTTCAACATTTTCTAGTGTCTTCTAGCTCCACTTGTATTTATAACTGAAACACACTAATGAGAGAGTTTATCTCAATTTACACCAATAAATTTATCATATGCTATCCCTTACATGTATTAATGTGCAGCCACTGACATATATAACCTTTTTTTTTTTTTTTTTAGGAATCTGAATAGTGTGAGCTACTATTTTGGGCATAATTTAAACAACAGGGGTTCCAATAATGGCAAACCAACAGTCTCAGAGGAGCTCTTACAACTGAATGGGCAACTTAAAAACACCAACACACACACAGTGTAAAAAACTAACTACAGAAGGTACCACATAAGCGTAGAAACGTTAACATTTTAAATACTTCCCAATATTTGATTTCAAAGCATAAATGAAGCATGTGGGCTTTTCTACATCTTTTCCTGCCAAGTCCCAGGAAAAATTAATCATACTACAGTCATCTAAAACAGCTGTTAGGACTGATCTTCAAATATTTAGTTTCAAAATACAGACCTATTTGCATTTTAAAACTCAGATGCCTGCATACTCCCACTGTAACTCCACACTGAGATAATCCTTTCAAAGTGGACTGCTGGCAAAAACAGATCTTTATTCATGGCTGAGAACTGCTTCAAATGGGCAGAGCAAAATGTTAGCCTAAGTCCTAAATTCAATGGCCAGAAAAATAATTTGATCTAGTACCAGAATATTTCTCTCTTTTTTTCAAAGGAAGGGTAGAATTTCAATAGTTACTTAAGGTTAAAAACAGAGGGCAAATAGGAAATAGTAAGATTTTAGAAGCTAGGGAAAAATTTATGTCCACTTCCCTCAAAACCACTGACTTTCTTAAATGAAGTTTCTTGATTAGCATATTGCTTTTGCGTGCACTCAAATACAAGCTATCAAATCTGCCTTACTTTGGGTTGTTGGGAGGTCCAAGCAACAGAAAAGATCTCAGTCTAGAAATAAGAGCCAAGTGGTATAAAACAACCTTTCCCACATGCTGGTATAATCAGGTTTGTTTTCCAAGATTTGTGTACAAAAAAGGGTATCCAGTTGTCATATACTCTAACAGTCATCTCACCCTAAAGGAACACCCAGGAGACAGGGATGAGAGGTGATATGCACAGCATCTCTGTTCTTCTGAGCAGACATCAGTTCTGATTATGAATTTCAAACGGTTTATCTTAAGTTTTAATTAAAATGGTAGCCACTGAAATGTATATAACTTTATGAACCTCGTGTTTTGTTTTCCTTCAATTCTTACAGTTTACACCTTGTTCCTGAAAAACCAACTCTTGAAAAAAGGTGATAGTAAACTTGGAAACTAACAATATCTGACATCTCACAAAACAATATTCCATCTTTACCCTATTCTCCCAATGTTTTGCAAATGGAAAGAACAATACTCATGAAGGTTAAGAAACATATCCTGGATCACACAACTGATAAAGGCAGAAACTACAAATTGCTTTTCCATTTCCCAGTTTATCGTTCCTCCCTTACAGGCAGCTCTAGGGATGTCAGTTAAATTCCAGGTAGATAGAAACATCCTTCTTAGCCTTACCTCTTTATGCACCTTCCAACTGTCTACTGTCACATTGAAGAGAGCTTTGAGGGCCTCAATGGCACAGTCTGTCTCCTGAGGTGAGAGAGGAGGTCCATTATGGTCTATGGCCGATTCATACTCATCGGTCCACTTGATGCTAAAGGCACTTTCCAAGATCTGGGTTAGCAGCGGTAGTCCCTGGAGCTCATAGCGCAACTGTGACCTGATGTCGGTGTGCAAAAGTGACAGGAGGAAGAGCAAGCGCAAGTCAAAGCACTTAATGTCATTGATAAACTTTCGGTCCTTGCACTTTCTCAAAAGGTTACAGAGCTTTGCAGCAAGGTTAAGTTCCAGGCTGAGCTGCTGTGCCATCTGACTGTTGAACACAATGTTACACAGACATTTTAATGACTCCACAATAACTGGGAACTCTGACACCTTCTCCAAAGAATCATCTGACTCGTTTAGCTTGGCTAGTCGCAACAGTATCTGCATATTTTCCTTAGTTGTTACAGGAACTAAAATCTTTTTGTCTCTGGAGAGAATGCGGAGAACTTCCAGGCAGGACACTTGACATGTTGTTGGGATGTCCTTTACAAGGACTTTAAATATGCCTTCACAGAGTTTCTGAAAAACAAGAATGAGTATGCAAAAATCATTATTTAGTTCAAATGATGTAAAATTGAAGGTTTTTCTACCAATGTATTTAAAAGCAGTTAGAATCTGCCTAGAAAGGTTTATTTATTTATCACAGAATGCTAGCATTGGAAGAGACCCTGTTGTTAGTTACCACTGAGTAGATTCTGATTAATGGTGACTTGTGTACAGAGTAGAATTGCTCCATATAATTTTCAACGCTGTGATCTTTTGGAAGCAGATCATTAAGCCTGTCTTCTCAGGAACTTTTAGGTGGGTTTGAACAACCAACCATTTCAGGTAAACCCTAAAGGGTCCATTAAAACAGATTGCTGCACTTCATCCCCATTGCTTTTGATTCAGTAGGTCTAAGGTGGGGCCTGAAATTTGCATATCTAATGTGTTCTCAGTTGATGCTGCCTGCTGCTGCTAGGTCCAGAAGTCACACTTCAGAACCACTGAGCAATGGTTTGCAATGGACTGACATAACTTGGATGCTAGAGGGTAGGGGACTGGAGAGAAACTGATTAGATAAGCACTGAAGAAGGCAGAGCTGAAATCTATTACCACAAATTCATTAACCTCTCCTTGATTTCTCTGTGCTGAAGATGTGTAAGTACAGCATGCACACGTATGGGATTATCATCATCTGGTTACATCACCTTTCTTAGCTTAAATGTGAAAACTACTAGAAGGATGAAGCATATTCAAGTCAGTGGTCCTAGGCTTGAAACTTACTCAATCTGCCATGGACTCTAGAACCAAAAGAGTGTGATTAATAGCATAGGTTCTGGATTTCAGTGCTTGCCTAAGGGCACTTGACTAAGAAGAGGAAAGGCACGACTCAATGTAGATGATCTGACTCCAATGTAGTTACACTGTACATCAACAATTGTAGCTTAGCTGTCTGCCATTTATTAACTGTAATCTTGAGAATGTCACTTTATAAGGCGCCTTTCTTCATTTATACCATGCACTGAGATTAAATGCCTTCTAAGGCAACTTTCTTCCAGCTCCAGAATGGTAGGCTTTTCACTATGAATCTGTAAAACCAGGATCAGCTTTGGCTTTAGCTATGAAACAAGCAAAACATGCTATGAAGATTATGAGAGCATTCAAATGATTTTTCATGATGCATATATTATCTTAAGAGATAATTTGTAAAAATAAAAGTCAAGTTTTATACATAAAGAAAATCTTTGCTTAAAAGACTGACATTACAGTTAGTCCATTATACCAACCCAATAAAGATTGTTAGGAAACACTTTCTAAGCATGTACCCCTCAAAAATGCTGTTTACAGATTCATGCCAGTTTACAAACTTATTGTTACTGAATCATGTGGCTATATGTACAAAAAATGGAGGGCTGCATTTAGAAATTTGTATAGTAATTTGACTTTGCTGTGCCATCCAAGGATGTGATTATTTCTTCTCTACTTCTCAAAGAACTGGCCTGTGAAGATCTTATGAATAGTGGTGAAACAATGTCTGAGATATTACTGGAAATTTTGACAAATAGCCCCAAAACACTAATATAGTGCTGTTAGATGAGCCTCTCAGATCAGAAGGCATAAAAATGTGACTAGAGAAGAGCTGCCTCCTCAGAGTAGAGCTGACTTTAATGATGTGGATGAAATAAAGCTTTCAGGACCTCCACTGGCTGATGTGGCACAACTCAAAACAAGAAGAAACAGCTGCAAGCATCCACATTAATGGATAATCGGAACACAGAATGTATGAAGCATGAATCTAGGAAAACTGAAGTTGTCAAAGTGAAATGGAACATGTAAAGATTGATACTCTAGGCATTAGAAAACCAGTTGAAATGGACTGGTTTTGGCCATTTTGTATCAGACAACCATATGATCTACTATGCCAGGAATGACAAATTGAAGAGGAATGGTGTGGCACTTATCATCACAATGTTTCAAGATCGATCCTGAAGTACAATGCTGTCAGTCATAGGATAATATCCACACACCTAAGAGGAAGATCAGTTAATACCATGATTATTCAAATTTATGCAACCACCACCAAAGCCAAAGATAAGGAATTTGAAGATTTTTACCAACTTCTGCAGTCTGAAATTGACCAAACATACAATCAAGATGTGTTGATTATCACTGGTGATTGGAATGCAAAAGTTGTTAAAAAAGAAGAATCAACAGTCATTGGAAAATATGGTTTTGGTGATAGAAATAATCCTGGAAATCACGTGATAAAATTTTGCAAGACCAACAACTTATTCATTGCAAATACTTGTCCTCAACAATATAAATGACAGTTATACACGTGGACTTTGCCAGATGGAGTACACAGGAAATCAGATGGATTACATCTGTGGAAAGAGGTGATGGAGAAGTTCAATACCTTCAGCCAAAACAAGGCCAGGAGCTGAGAGTGGAACAGACAATCAGCTGCTCATATGCAAGTTCAAACTGAAGCTGAAGACAATTAAAAGAAGTCCATGAGAGCCAAAATATGAACTTGATTATATCCCTCCTGAATTTAGAAACCATCTAAAGAATAGATTTGACGCATTGAACAGCAATGACATCAAGACCATCATCCATGAAGAAAGCAAAAGGTCATTAAAAAGACAGGAAAGGTAGAAAAGACCAAAATGGATGTCAGAAAAGACTCTGAAACTTGCCCTTGAAAGCAGAGTAGCTAAAGCAAATGGAAGAAAGGACAAGATAAAAGAGCTGAACAGAAGATTTCAAAGAGCAGCTCGAGTAGACAATTATTATAATGAAATGTGCAAAGGCATGGAGTTAGAAAACCATAAGGGAAGAACACACTCAGCATTTCTCAAGCTGAAAGAACTAAAGAAAAAATTGAAGCCTCGAGTTGCAATACGGAAAGATTCTATGGGAAATATATTGAATGATGCAGGAAACATCAAAAGGAGATGGAAGGAATACAGAGTCACTGTACCAAAAAGAACTGGTCAATGTTCATCCATTTCAGGAGGTGGCACATGGACTAGAACCACTGGTATCAAAGGAAGAAGTCAAAGCTGCACTGAAGAAACTGGCAAAGAACAAGCATGCAGGAATTGACAGAATATCCACTGAGATGTTTTAACAAATGGATGCTCCACTGGAGTCACTCACTCATCTATGCCAAGAAACCTGGAAGACAGCTACTTGGCCAACTGACTGGAAGAGATCCACATCTGTACCCATTCCAAAGAGAAGTGGTCCCACAGAATGTGGAAATTATCAAACAGTATCATTAATATTGCACGCAAGTAAAATCTTGCTGAAGATAATTCAAAAACAGCTGCAGCATTATACTGACAGAGAATTTCCAGAAATGAAACTGGATTCAGAAGAGGATGTGGAAAAAGGGTATCACTGCTGATGTCAGATGGATGTTGGCTCAAAGCTAAGAATACCAGAATGTTTACTTGTGTTTTAATGACTATGCAAAAGCCTTCAGTTGTGTGGATCCTAACAAATTACGAATAACACTGAGAACGGGAAATTCCAGAACACTCATGAAGAACCTGTACATCGACCAGGAGGCTGTCATTCAAACAGAACAAGGGAATATTACATGGTTTAAAATCAGGAAGGGAGTGTGTGAGAGTTTTATCTTTTCACCATGCTTACTCAGTCAGCATGCTGAGCAAACAATCCAAGAAGCTGGACTATATGAAAAAGAATGCGGCATCAGGACTGGAGGAAGGCTCATTAACAACCTGCAATATGCAGACGACAAAGCTTTGCTTGCTCAAAGTGAGGATGGCTTGAAGCACTCACTGGTGAAAATTAAAGACTACAGTCTGCAGTATGGATTACACACCAATGTAAAGGAAATGAAAATCCTCACCACTGGACCAATAACCAGTATCACAATAAATGGAGAAAACTTGAAGTTGTCAAAGATTTCATATTACTTGGTTCAACAATCAACACCAACAGAAGCAGCAGTCAAGACATCAGATGATGTACTGCAATGGGCAAATTTGCTACAAAAGACCTCTTCCAAGTGCTGAAGAGCAAAGTCTTCCTTTGAAGACTAAGGTGTGCCTAACCCAAGCTATGGTATTTTCACTCACCTCATATGTATGTGAGAGCTGGACAATGAATAAAGAAGACTGAAGAAGAGATAATGCTTCTGAGTTGTGGTGCTGGTGAAGAATACTGAAGGTATCATGGATTGTCAAAGGAACAAACAAATCTATCCTGTAAAGAAGTGCAGCCAGAGTTCCGGTAAGATGGCGGACAAAGCAGAAAGACTGCACAGACTCTTTTCAACAAAGTAAAGGGAAACCAATTAACACAGACACAGAAGATAATCCTGGACCCCTGAGCCTAGAAGGAAAGGATATACAAGAGGACTAAACCCCAACTAGCAGAAGAATTGCATGAAAATACCAAAAAAGGAGACAGACGGAGCTGCAGTCTGGCAGCGATCCTGAGCAATCTGGACAGCACAGACATCTTAGAGATTCCCGAGTATTGATAGGACCTAAGAATTAACCTAAAAATCAGCGCTGCTAGCCAGGGACTGCATGGAGAACTGCTCTGGTGGCTGGAGAATAAACAGAAAAGGCAAAGAAAAAGGCGGGCTGAGCTGTGGACTTTTGCCTGTCGGGAGGATGCTGCCATTTTGAATGTTTAAAAGCAGCTTGACCACTTTGGATATTTAAAGAGACAGCACTCTCCCAGATTCCAGGGGCTTAAGAACACGTTCTGCTTGCCAGCAACCCCAAGGACATTCTGGACCTCCACGATTGAAAAGGTGCAACATTCTTCTTGTTACTCTTATACCCCACATCCGCTTGGTGAACAGAGGTGCGGTAATTCCCCACTCCCACACAACTTCTGGGCCCGCAGGAACTCCATCCCAGTCTGTGTGCTCAGATGGAGCCTGAGTGCCCTGCCCTGTCCTCCACCAATTTTTTTTTTTTCTATTTTTCTTTCTTTTTCCTTTTTCACTTTCTTTTTTTCTGGTGTTTAGTTTGCTTGTATTTGTCTGT